GTGGGGCACAGGTGGTTGGTGGCACCTCAGCGCCTGCCCACACGCCCACCTCTTCCATGGCCTACAGGAGACCTCTGTGAGCATGAGGAGAACCCCTGCCAGCTCCGTGAGCCCTGCCTGCATGGGGGCACCTGCCAGGGCACTCACTGCCTCTGCCCCCCAGGCTTCTCTGGCTCACACTGCCAACAAGGTATCCATGCCTTGCTTCCTGTCACCTCCCTCGGGGGTCCTGGGACTGGACAAGTTCCCCCGGAGGTCTGAACCCACCAACTGGACCCTCCCTTCCCCACAGGCCCTGGACATGGCATAGCAGAGTCCGATTGGCATCTTGAGGGCAGTGGGGGCAGTGGTACGTACCTGCTATGGCCCCGTGGCCTTGTCTGCTCTTTGGCCTCAGCCTCTCAGCCTTCTCTTCTGATTCCCCACACTTTAGCTCCAGCCTGTAGGCAAAAAGGCCCAGGTGAGGGGCTTGCTGGGTACAGATAGGCAGAAGACGGGAAAGCACAGCCACGCAGAGCTGGGTCCCACCCCAGGCTTACTGCCGAGGTGACCCTGAGCAGCTCTGTGCCACTCTTCAGCGCTCACATAATCAGCAGGCACCTACTGTGAGTCTAGCTGGACCGTGGGAGCAGCAAATACAAAATGAATAAGCAGGACCCTCACTCTCAAGGATTCTGCTGTTTAAAAACAATATAAGGGTGCCAGCTCTAGTGGTGGTACTTGGGAGGCTGAAGCAGGAGGATCATAGGTTCCAGGCTAGGCAATTTAGCAACTTAGCAAAACCCTGTTTTATAATAACATTAAATAAAGGAGAGCTAGGTGTCATGGCACACACCTTTAATCCTAGCACTTGGGAGGCAGAGGCAGGAGGATTGCTGTGTGTTTGAGGCCAGCCTAGACTGCATAATTCAAGGCCCGGCTCAACTACATAGCAGGACCCTGTCTCTGTCTCTGTCTCTGTCTCTGTCTCTCTCTCTCTCTCTCTCTCTCACACACACACACACACACACACACACACACACTTAAACAGGAGTTGAGAGGTAGTTTTGTGTGAAGGCCCTCGTTCAGTCCCCATTGCCACATACATACATAAAAAGGACTGAGAATGGGCCCAGTTGTACCGTGCTTGCCTTGCATGTAGGAGGGGCCTGGGTTCAATCCTCAGTACGCAAAGAATAAGTAAGAATAATAGTGAATGTTTTTGGCCATTTATAGGTACCTTGTTAAGTCCTTTATAGGTACATCCTCCTCATCACTAATGCGATAGGAGAGGCTGTAATACAGTGGTTAAGAGCATGAACTCTCGAGCCAGCCAGCCTGGGTTCAAATCTGGGCCTTGCCACTTACTATGTGACTTTGGGTGAGTCACTTAACCTCTCTGTGCTTCAGTTTTTCAATACAACTAAGTTGAGATTAATCATAATGTTGTGGGAGAGTTTATTTGTTTTTGGTACCAGGGATCGAACTCACGACCTCACACTTGCCAGGCACACACTTATGCCACTGAGCTAACTCCCTGGCCCCAATCATTTAATCCATAAGGCTTTGGATAGAATTAACTCATAGAGTTGTTACCAACATTCAGTTAAATGATGTGCACAGGCACATAACAGGTGCATGGTAAATGCCAGCAGCTACCTACACAGTTTGGTGGGAAGTGGCTGAGTGTCCCTTGCAGCTGGCAGCCTTCCTGGATAGTACGGCAGTCACAGTGTGGATGCTGGGCTGCAAGGCCCAGATCATGACCTGGGCTTGCTGTTCTGGGGTTCTTCTGCTCAGCCTGTCTCACCCTCCGCCTCTGTGAGACAGAGGCAAAGCATGGCGTTGAACCTGATCAACAGGACCAAGGTGACCAGCTGTCCCAGTTTGCTTGGGACTCTCACAGAGCTAAAGCTAACAGAACATGACAGACGGGGACAGAGATCTGCCATGGATCCGATCACTGGCATAAAATAAGAGACCTAGGATTTCAAAGGAAATCAGTTAGGCTGGAATAATTGAGTTAACAAAAACAATTTTTTTGGATTCCTAATATATGTGTCTCTTTATTAACGTAGTAAATAAGTAATGAGCATAAGCAACATTTTGAAATACTTGCAACTGCTGCAGTGTGCTGGACAGAGGCTAGGGACAAAGTCACAGTCCCTGCCCTGCCACTCCGGCTGGTTGCTGACATCTGTAACTGAAGGTGCTGCTCATGTCAGTGAGGAGTGAAAATGGAGATATTTTCCCATCCGAGTTCAAGGCCCCATGCATTCTGTTGGTGGCCCCTTTGGGACAGTTCCCAGGGACCACCGGTTCAAGGCCCCATCGTGGAGTGGACATGGGGGTCAGGGAACCCCCCCAGGGAACGTGTATGGGTGGGCCAGGGAGCAGGTGTCTCACACTCCCCCTCCCGCAGATGCCCCCGGGCAGTACGGAGTCTATTTCCATGACGATGGTTTCCTAGCCCTCCCCAGCCACATCTTCTCCCGGAGGTAAGACAGGCCTTGGTTGCAACATCTGTGCCCAGGTCTGGGAGGACAGGAATCTGAGACCTCCATCCACTCACCTACCCACTCCTTCCCCACAGCCTGCCCGAAGTGCCCGAGACCATCGAGCTAGAGGTTCGGACCAGCACGGCCAATGGTCTGCTGCTCTGGCAGGGTGTGGTGAGTGGACACTAGGTGCAGTCTTGGGAATCCCTGAGGCAGGAGGCTGGCCTGCTGGTAGCCAGGGCCAAGGGGAGCGTGGGGAGCGGGAGAGGCTATAGCTCTGCAAGCTGGGGAGCCTAGAGACCCTGTGCTTCCTTGACAGGAGGTGGGAGAGGCCAGCCGAGGAAAGGACTTCATCAGCCTTGGACTGAAGGACGGCCACCTTGTCTTCAGGTGGGCCCTGGCATCCTGCCCTCCCTCCCCCTTCCCTGGCTCCTCCCTTGAGAAGCTGCCCCTGCCATTACCCCTGCCACATACCCCCATCCCCACCCGCTCACACTTGGTGGGTCTCTGTTTCCCCAGCTACCAGCTGGGCAGTGGGGAGGCCCGTCTTGTCTCTGAGGACCCTATCAACGATGGCGAATGGCACCGGGTGACAGTGCTGCGGTAAGAGAGCCCAGCCAGGCATCTGGGGAAAGGACTAGAGTCCTGTAGGGAGACATGATGCCCCACCATGGGCAGGGGGATGTGAGACAGAGCAGGAAGCTGGAGTTTGGGGATGCTCCCTGGACAGAGCACAGTGTGGGCCCCGAGTACCCTGCGGGGTGGAAGGAAAGAGTACGGCTTGGGGGTGGCTCCGAGCTGGGTCTGCAGGGTCATCCAGAGGGGAAAGAAGGACCACAGAGAGCAGGGCCTGGCTTATCTGTCCAGAGTTTCTGTGCCAAGGGGTGGATTCCATGGGAGGAGGGGAGTCTGTGCCGGGCAGGGGCCTGACCCAGCTCCCCTGCAGAGAGGGCCGGAGAGGCTCCATCCGGGTCGATGGCGAGGAGCTGGTGAGGGGCCAGTCCCCAGGCCCCAATGTAGCGGTCAATACCAAGGGCAGCGTGTACATCGGTAAGTCCTGGGCCAGCCTGGGGAGGGCAGGGAAGGCATGGGGGTCCACACAGCTGGCTTGCCTGCGCCTCTGGCACCCACTGGTGCTCTCACTCCCCTGCCCACAGGCGGAGCCCCAGACGTGGCCACACTGACTGGAGGCAGGTTCTCCTCGGGCATCACTGGCTGTATCAAGAACCTGGTGCTGCACTCGGCCGGGCCTGGTGCCCCAGGCCCCCAGCCCCTGGACCTGCAGCACCGTGCCCAGGCTGGGGCCAACATACGCCCCTGCCCCTCATAGGCACCTGCCTGCTCCCCATGGACTCCGGGCCGCGCCCAGCCTGACAGTGTCGAGTATATTATTATTAATATTATTATTATTATGAGTTTTTGTAAGAAACTGAGGCGATGCCACGCTTTGCTGCTACTGCCCTGGGCTGGACTGGAGGGTGGGCACACCAGCTTCCCGTGCATGGCAAAGCCCTAAAGCCGGTGGGCAGGGCAGGTGGAAGGGTCTGTTGCCTCAGAAAGCCACCAAGACTTGAGGTCAGGGATGTATCTCATCTCCTCCTGCCCTGAAGGAGTCCCCCAAAGCAGAACTGGGCTGCCCACTGTGGAAGCCCTTGGGCAGCCCTCCTTCCTGAGGACCAGCTGAGCTCACCACCTTGTGCCTACCAGCTAAATGAATGGGGTCCTCACAAGGCCTTGCCCCATACCCATAGGCTGGAAAAGTCTTTAGCACCCCCTGTGGAGCAGAAGGCAGCTCACCCTTCCCCCACCAGCCCCCTCCCAGCCCCCCGCCTCCACCCAGCGCAGCCACCACCCCTGGCAGAGCCGTCCTCCCATTCCTACCACAGCCCACAGCCCAACGTCCCTCCTCGCCTCTGGGCTCCTCCCTGGAGCACCCGCACTGAGGGCTCGGCCCACACCTGGCCGCACCCCACACTTTTCTGGAGGTGAAGGCCCAGGGACGTGGGGGAACTGGTGGTCAGGAAGAGCCCAAAATCCCCTACTGGGAGGGAGAGGAGGGGGATGACAGCCTAAGGACCCAGTGGTCAGCCATCCCCATACTTTAGCATTGGGGACGCCTGACCTTGCATCCCTTTTGGGACCCTCCTGTGGTCTTTGTCTTGATTCTTCTTAATAAACGGTGCTATCCCCGCCAGGAGTCTGCTGAGCCTCTTTGGGACTTGACTCAGTGGCTCCGGAGGGACACAGCTGGCTGCTGAAGTGAGGCTCCCACGCCCTGTCCTGGGCACAGGGGTCACGCTGGCTCTGAGCTAGCCTAATGCCCCCATGGCTGCCACAGGACTGGGTCCTGTGTGTACTTTGCTTCTTGCAGCTGCCACCATAGCCAAAGGCAGGAACTGTCCAATTTCCCAGAGGGGCAGCATGAGACTCTGAAGTTAAATGACCAATGGGAGGCCAGGCGGTCAGGGCTCAGGCTCTGTCTGGCCCAGAGCCCAGTCTCCTTCTGCCAGGGCTGTAACCTCTCTAGGGACAGCCCTCCTGGTCCTGGAAGACTGGGCCCCTGCTCCCAGATTCCCCCGGGGCCACTCGGCCAGTACATGGGTAGCAGATGCTGCAGCCTGCGAAGCATCTGAGGCACAGGCCCCGAGTTCCCAGTTGCCAGGTCGCCCAGCTGGAAGAGCACCAGCACCAGAACAGGCCCACGAGGAGGCCGACAGAGGCCAGGAGCAGGGAGGAGGCCAGCACCACAGCCTGCAGCACGGGGCCTGCAGAAGGAAAGAGTCCACTCAGCCTCAGCCTGGCCTGGCCACCCTGCTCCCGTCACGTGGTCAGGGGAGGGTGTGCTGTCCGTGGGAACAGTAGGAGCCAAGTGGTCATTACCTTCAGATGCATCCTGTCGGGCAGAGTCCTGGCCTTCTGGGGGCCTCCTCTCTGCTGTATCCCCAAGAGGGTCTGCAGAACCCAGCACCATGGAGAGAGTTGGGGGCTTGGAGGAGTCGTTGTCTATGCTCCCTGCCTGGCTGGGTGGCAGAGAGGGACCTGCAGTAATAGGACCAGCACACTATGTTTCTTTTTCTTTTTCTTTTTCTTTTTTTTTTTTTTTTTTTTTTGCTTTTTTCCAGTACCGAGGATCAAACTCACAACCTCACGCTTGCCAGGCAGGCACTTACGCTGCTGAGCTAACCCCCCAGTCCCCACTGTGTTTCTTTTCTGTTTTTTTTTTTTACCGGTACCAGGGATCGAACTCGGGACCACGCGCTTGCAAGGCAGGCGCTTATGCCGCTGAGCTAAATCCCCAGAGGCCCCCTTCCACTGTGTTTCATTTAATGTCAAAACCTCTGTCATTATTTTCATTTTACACATAAGAGAAGAGAAGCACAGAGAGGTTAAGTCTCTCACCACGGTCACACAGCTAGAAATCAGAAGAGGATCTGAACCCACCCAGTCCAGATTCAAGTCCAGGGGTTTTTACTGGAACTGTTTCTCAAGAAGAGGGGGATGTATATATACACACACTGAGCACTTTCTGTGCGCCAAACCCTCTACATAGCAAGACCCTGTCTCAAACAAATAAACATTGTGTGAGTCTACTTAGTGAAAAAGTAGGATGAATACTTAAATTTTTAAAAAATTTATATAGGAAAAATACATCTTGCATCAGCCCCAGAGTACTGGGATCATAGGTATATGCCACCACACCCAGCTATTTATTCCTTATAGTCAGTTTATCTCACTTAGCATGTGCTAAGCATGCCTAGCTCCCTTCCTTCTTAAGGGTGACCAATGTTTTATTGTTTGGAAAGACCAGATTTTGTTTATGCATTGAACTGTAGGTGGGCTCTGGATTGCCGTTTTCACAGAAAGGGGCCATAAAATACTTTTGTGAAAAAGTTAAGCGGAGGCCCACTGGGAGGAGAAAGACCATGAGAGCTCTGAAGAACAGCTTTTGGTAAAGTGGTGGTACACGCCTGTGATCCTAGCACTGCGGAGGCTGAGGCAGGAGGATGGCCAAGAATTTGAGGCCAGTCTGGGCTACCTCGTGAGCTCAAGGCCAGCACAAACTACATAGTGAGACCCTGTCTCAAAAAAGAAATCCTGAGCACTGGCTACAGCCAAGAGGGGCCTGAAGACACGACAACCAGCTGGCTATGTGGCACACACCCGGGACCCCAGCACTCTGGCAGAAGGATTTCAAGTTCCAGCCAGCCTGGGCATCTTAGCAAAAAAAGCACTGGGGATGTAGCTCAGTGCAGTACCAGAGGAGGAAGAAAAAAATCTAAAAAATGATGGTTATTAGAAGGAAAAAAGAAAATGAAAACTTTGGGCTTCTGTGGGAAAAAATATGCAAGAACAGAAGCGCAGAGACCAAAAGTCACCAAAATACTCCAGACAAGACTGCAGCACTGAGGCCAGGCGACAGCTGAGCGGTGGGGCGAAGGCTCGGGTGATGGGAACCTTCTACAGACGTGGTGGCTTCACTGTGTGCGGAGTATCGAAGGAGGAGGGGGTGACTCAACCAGTGGGGCCAGGGCTGCCGGTCCTATAGGGAAGGTGGCGAAGGGGTGGAGGGAGGGTCAGGAGCCAGTTCCAGGCAGGTGAAGGGTGGGAAGCCCCAACGGCCAGGGCCAGGTGCCCAGGAGGACCATCCCACTGCTTCTTTTGCTTAGTTTTGTTTTATTTCTGGGGGGTTTTGTTTTTGTTTTTGGATACAGCGTCTCGGTATGTAGTCCAGGCGGGGCTTGAACTCACTATATAGCCCAAGCTGGCCTTATACTTGAAGTGACCCTCCTGCCGCAGCCTCCAAGTACTAACATTACAGGTTGTGCCCCATCATGCCCGATTCCATCCACTCTTGACTGGGGGTTGAGGAAGGTGAGAGATCTCCAGGGCCCCAGCAAGGTTATTCTGCTTTGGGAGTCCATTTATGCTTACATTCTTCACTGGCTTTATTATCCTGAGCACCTCTGCCTTTGATGCCCTTGGTCCCTGTACAAGGTGCTGTTTAAGGATGGTTTCTGCCACAACTGGACCAAGTCCCCACACATTGTTGTACATTTGCATGTTCTGAACCTTAGCTCTCATTCTAAACTGAGTGTCAGGCTGGGAATTTGGTTCAGCAGCCTAAGTGCCTGCTTTGCAAGCATGTCGTTGTGAGTTGGATCCCCAGTTCTGGGGTAAAAAAAAAAAGATCATGATGGAATGGCCCATAAACTTGAGTGCCCGCTGCTGCCCTCCCCTCGTTCCCTGCACAGGGTCCCTGCCTCCTGCCTCTAGGCAGGGCAGACGGGCTGACTCCTCCCCTTGGCTGTTTAGTAAGACCCAACACTGACCTCTGCAGCTGGCTGGTGGCCAGGAGCTCTGGTCGCTGCCGTCCCCACAGTTGTCCATGCCCCAGTGGTCACATACCAGGCTCAGGGGGATGCACCTGCCATTCTGGCAGCGGAAGTAGGCACCACAAGGTCCTGAGATAGAAAGGGGAAGCCTGGGGTGAGGCTCCTAGATGAGCCCACGACACAACCAGATATGTGGGCCAGTGGTGGGAGGAGTTGGGAAGAGGAGCAGGAAGACTTGGGCCAGCAGTACAGGAACAAAAGGGTAGTGGGCTTTGGATTTTTTTTTTTTTTTTTTGAGACAGGGTCTTGTTATGTAACCCAGACTGGCCTTGAACTCATGGCAATCCTCCTGCCTCAGCCTCTGGAATACTAGGATTACAGGTGTGCACTACTGGAAAGGAAATTTTTTTTTCTTTTTTTCCAGTAAGGGATCGAACTCACAACTGCCTGCTTGCAAGGCAGGTGCTTATGCCGCTGAGCTAAATCCCCAGCCCCCTGAAAAGGAAATTTTAAAACCTATAACCTGGGGGTTGGAGATTTAGCTCAGCGGCATAAGCACCTGCCTTGCAAGCAGGCAGTCGTGAGTTTGATCCCCGGTACCGGTAAAAATGAAAAAGACAAAAAAAACCTGTAACCTGACAGTATATTAGCAGGAAAGGCAGGCCCAGCCTTTTACACTAAGCTACCCTTGCAATTCTAACACCAGCTGCAACTTGTAAGATAACTTAGCCAGGAAGTACATCTTGTTGCACTAATTTTCAAGACAGATCGGCTTAATTAAAGACAGTGATTGGTTCTTCCTGCTCACCCAAGCCCCTGACCTTGAGAAACTCCCAACTTAAACTTGCCTGAAATAAATCTGCCTAACAACATATGACCCAGCCTTTGTAACCAATTATAAAATAACCTGCTATAACCTTTTGTACTTCCTGCTTCAAACACATATAAGTGTCTGTTTAACCCCAAGATGGGGCTGGTAATTTGGAACTCAAGTTTCCCACAGCCCACTAGTGTAATAAAGAGTTGCCTTCCAACTCCTTGGTGCTGCATTTTTCCATCCAATTTGGTCCTGGTTTTTCCACACCACCACCATGCCTGGTGTAGACCAGGGCTTTGGAAGGTGGCTCATTAGGGCAATACTGAGCTCAGTGGGGGGACAATGAAACGATACACACCAAAGGGGTAAACACTACAATTAACCCCACGGAAGAGACAAGACAGCAGCCTGGGGCAGCTGGCACCTGACTATGGTCTGCCCCTGGCAGACTATAACACCGAGCTGGGGGCGGAGTCTGCATTTGGGAGTGGGTCCAAAATGCTTCTGCCGGAGCCCAGTCCCGCACCTCCCCACCCTGGTCCTGGCCATCTGCAACACTCAGAACCATCTGCAGCACAGGAGCAGCTTGATTGGTTGCTCATGGCCTATCTCCCCCAGAAAGGGATTCCCTCTTAATCACTGCTGCACCCCCACAGTGTAGAACAGCACTTCACACAATGCAGGTGCTTAATTAACACTATACTAGTGAGTGGATATGCATACAAGTGAAAGTATCACACACTCAGCTCCTGGGGCAGGCAGACAGCTTGGCTTACCCAGAATCCCACGCTGAGGGCAAAAGCTAGATCAACTGGAACTGATCAATAGCATGGCTCAGGCCAGGCCAATCACGCCATTCTAATTCCTAGCCACAGAAATGGACACCTGGCCTACAGAAGTAACTATTTAGATTCCACTCCAGGACTTTTGCTACAGCCATTAAAAAAAAAGATGCCTTAATCAAGCCTGGAGGTATATGTGTATAGTCCCAGAACACTTTGAGGCTGAGGCAGGAGAATCACAAGTTTGAGCCCAACACAGGCAATTTAGCAAGACCCTAAAAAAGAAAAAACCTATAATCCCAGGACTCCAGAGGCTGAGGCAGGAGGAGTGCCTAGGCCACATAGTAAGTCCAAGAGCAGCCGGGACTGCACACAAAAAAGAAAAAAGTCCAGGAATGATAGCGCATGCTTGTAATCTCAGAGGCTGAGGCAGGAGGATCACCACAAGTTCAAGGCCAGCCTAGATTATATAGTGAGTTACAAGTTCAGCCTTACGTGTATAGCAAGACCTGAAAACAAGACAAAACAAAAATTCAGGCCATGCAGGCATAATTCCCAGAAGGAAGCCAGTGAGTCATAAGGCCGCTCAAGACCTACCATGCGTCTGGGACCATCCCGGGCCTCTATGTCACCATCTAGATCTTAGGATACTGGTGCTCCAAAGCCCCTGTATCTCCCTCAAGTGTTCAACATGCCTTGTTTCATTCTCCTCTCTGGATATTCTGCCAGAAATGGTGATTGAGCCTAGATGGTGACACACACTTGTAATCCCAGCACTCTGGATGCTGAGGCAGGAGGACTGCCAAGAGTTCAAGGCCAGCCTGGATTGCATGGCAAGACTGTCAGGAAGAAAGAAAGAGAGAGAGAGAGAGAGAGAGAGAGAGAGAGAGAGAGAGAGAGAGAGAGAAAGGAAAGAAAGAAAGAGAAAGAAAGAAAGAAAGAAAGAAAGAAAGAAAGAAAGAAAGAAATAAAGAAAGAAAGAAAGAAAAGAAAATGGTGATTGAGCTTCTCATGGTTTTAGAATCTCCTGGGCTTTGAGAGTTCCCCTGCTCACCATGGCTGGAGACACCTCCAGAATCAGGCCCAGCCCCTTCCCTTAGGAGCAAGGAGCTCAGGCTGCAGCCCTTACCGTTTCCCACTTTGCAAACTCAAAAACGCCACCCCCAGGAGGCCGAAGTGCTGTGCACCGGAGGGCTGAGATAATGCATCATGAACCAGGGTTATTCAGGTCCTGCCTGGGAATTTCTGTTGGGTATCTCCCAGAGCTCTGGTCATGCCCTTCCATGCACCTCTAAAGGGTCAACCTGGACATGGGTGTAAGTGTGCAAGGGGCACCATACACATGAGGTGCACGGGATGGGAACTGTGCCTGAGCAGTGTGAGAGACATGAGTGGTGTGAACTGTGTGTGGTTTGTGTATGATGAGATGTACACGTGTGTAGGAGTGTGCATGAGTGTGAGTGCCTGGCTGGGGGGCAGCAGTCTGGTACACACATGCGTGGATATGGGATTTCTGAGGTTGGCTTTTTGGGTCTCAAATGTCATCCCGACCCTCCACCCTGGGCCTGCCACCACCTCCTCCTGCACCTTCTTGGGCTCTCAGCAGCCAGGATGCTGGCTCCATCCCGGACTTCAGCCAACGCACCCAAGTGGAAAGAGGTGACTTCGCCCACGAAGTCCACACGGGGCTGGCGGCCTCTGGTGACCAGGCGCAGGCCTAGGAACGGTCCGGAGGAGGCCACCGGGGCGGGGATGGACAGGCCGCAGAGAGGGGGCCCCAGAGCCCGGGGTGCTCCGGGGGGCCCCTCGTAGAGCTGCAGGTAGGAGCCGGGGGCGCACGGGTCGGCTGGCCCCGGGGTGGAGGCGTTGTGCGCGGGTTCCGGGGCCGCCTGGGTCAGGCTGTAGACCAGGAAGAAGCGGAACTGGAAGCGGATCCTGTCGCCCGGGGCGGCCGCCCGCATCCAGAGCCCGCAGTCGGTGTCCGGAGCCACGAAGTAGAATCTGCGCGAGGTGGCGTGTGATTGCAGCAGCAGCCCGTCGCCCTGCCAGGTCCGCCGGCACAGCTGCACCAGGTCGGCTGCGGAAAGCGCAGGCCGGGCTCACGCGGCCGGTTCCACCGGGCCTGACCCTGGCCCAGGCCCTGATCCTGACACTGACCCTGACCCTGACCCTGACCCTGACCCTGACCCTGACCCTGACCCTGACCCAGACCCAGGCCCTGACCCTGACCCTGACCCTGACCCTGACCCTGGCCCTGGCCCTGACCCAGGCCCTGACCCTGACCCTGACCCTGACCCTGACCCTGACCCTGACCCTGGCCCAGGCCCTGATCCTGACCCTGACCCTGACCCTGACCCAGGCCCTGACCCTGACCCTGACCCTGACCCTGACCCAGGCCCTGACCCTGACCCTGACCCTGACCCTGACCCTGACCCTGGCCCAGGCCCTGATCCTGACCCTGACCCTGACCCTGACCCTGACCCTGACCCTGACCCTGGCCCTGACCCTGGCTCCCTTTAGTCTGAGCTATGTTGTTCCTAGGTTCTATGTGGGGGAGTCCCTGTTCTTCCTGCTGTTTAATTATGGGTAAAATGGGGGTAATTAAGCAATTTCAGAATTTTTGTGAGGATTAGAGTTAATGTAATTCAGACCACAATCCCTTCCTCGAAAGCCCTGCGCCAGGTGGTGGCGCTGGTCTGTAACCTGAGCACACTGGGAGGCTGAGGCAGAAAGATCTCAAATTCAAGTGCCGTCTGAGCAACGTAGCACTTTGCAAAAATTTTTGAAGTCTCAAAATTAAAAAAATTTTTTTTCAAGAATGCGAGGCTGGGGGCTGGGGATTTAGCTCAGCGGCATAAGCACCTGCCTTGAAAGCAGGCAGTCATGAGTTCGATCCCTGGTACCGATAAAAATGAAAAAAAAAAAGCCAAAAAAAAAAAAGAGTGCAAGGCTGGGATGTAGCTCAGTGTGAAGGCGCTGATCTAGGGGAAATGCTAGATGTCAAATATGCCGAGTTCGTGTCCCCCAAAGTGGAAAAATGAACTCTAAGGAACTAGAGGTTAAGAGTAGGAAAATTTATTGGAGAAAAGGGATGGGGACTAGGATTGGGGAAAGGGGAAATTTGAATTGCTCCTGAGAGACAGGAGGGGGTCCCAAGTGGGTTGCCCATGAGCCCACCTTCAAAGGAAGGTGGCCCTGAGCAAAGTCAAGAGTTTGGTACAATGTGGATCAAAACTATGATCAAACAGGATTGCAAGAATAGTTGCTTAGGTAACACTGATCTAATGGTAGCCAGGGTACATGGTGACATCGTTAACCTTGGTGGAGGGACAGTAGTCTCAGCGTTGTCTTTATAAAGGCTTAGTAGTCCCTGGTTTTAGTCCTAGCGGGTGGGAGAGGCTGGCCATCCCTACTGAGATAATGGGGACTGGGTGATACCAACCTCCATTCCTCCCTTAGGGAAGTATGGAAACTAGCCTCCGGGTTTTACCCTTCAGGTGCACTCTTTTCTCCAGCACTGAGGCCCGGCCCCGCCCGGTCTGTGGGCCTCTCTGTCTCTACCTAACCGAGCTATTTATTACACCGGGTTCAGTCTCCTTGCAGATGGGCAGGGGTCATGTGTTTCATGGTTTCTAGATTTCAAGGTACAGGGTTTGGGGTGATGCCTGGCACTTAAGGAGGGTTATGCAAGTGTCAGCAACTACTCTGAACCTTACTGAGACCACACATTTGAGGGCCAGCCACCTAATAGCTTTCATTTCCTCTTGCTAGACGACTGAGTTTCGCAATCCTTGTTTGTCAGATTTATTAAGGATTGGTATGTGACCTGTTTTGGCCAGTGGGACTTAAGGATAAGTCCGCTGCAAATTCCTGAGGAAAGGTTTTCCTGCTTGAAAGGAAGAGTACTGTGTTGAGGAGACACATTTTCTTCCTGCTTCTGAAGGATATGGACAGAATGTGAGGTCTGGAGCGGCAGCAGCCATTTTACAATTAGGTGGTCTTGAGATTACCAATGCTAAGATCATGGAGGTGCTGTCTCTGGAATCACCTATGGACACTCTTCTTAAATGAAATACTAAATACTGAAACAATGCATATCATTATACTTTTAGTCCTGTTAGTTTGGTATTTGTTTCTTTAAAACATCTGCATTAATAGACTTGTGTGAGTGCTCAAACTACCTCTGAATTTTTAAGGATAAAGAGAAGTTTTCTGGTGCAAGGCAGGGGGTACAAGTGGGTACCTAAGGATCTGCCAGGGTGTGGGTCTTCAGGGGAAAAATCCTGGCTTGAGCCAGCAAACACAGATGCATTTCCTGTGTTTGTGCAGACCAGAGGCACACTCCTATGTGCACACTGTCAGGAATTGAAGTCGGGGCACTTACTCTGCCACAGAGCCACACCCCCAGCACCCTCCCTCTGCGAGACACGGTCTTGCTAAACTGCCCAGGCTGGCTCAGACTTTCCATCCTTCTTTTCCTAGAGTGCTGAGATTACAGGCATGCGCCGATATGCCCAGCAGGGTAGCAGTTTTGAGTAAATCAAGTTGGGCACCTTTGTACCAGACACTGTCGGAGCATCTTGGGTAATTTACTTCACCTTGTTATGTACAACATGATAGTCCTGGCACACCTGTGATCCGAGCACTGGGAAAGCACAGGAACAAGTTCCTATTATTATTTTTTTTCTCTTTTTCTTTCTTTCTTTCTTTCTTTTTTTTTTTTTTTTTTTTTTTTTTTTTTTGTATTTTTGAGACAAGGTCTCGCTATGCAGTTCAGGCTGGCCTTGAGCTCACTTTGTAGCCCAGGCTGGCCTGGAACTAGATTCCCCTGCCTCAGGCTCTCAAGTGTTGGGGCTACAGGCATGAGCCACCACACCTGGCAATTACTGTTACTTTACTACAGAAAAAAACCAGCCTCGGGTGAATGAGATGGTGATCTCAGGACAGGAAGTAACAATGGCAGCGAGGGGGAGAGGAGGGTTCTGGTTCTAGAGCCCACAAATTTCGCCTCCAGACAGGATGGCCCCACCCTCAGGCTCTGCTTCTGGGGGTCTTGGCACTGTGTCCTACTAGGGTTTGTCCTGGACTTGAGGCACCGAGCAAGACCAAGCACAGGGTTCCCAGCCCCTGTGGGTCACCAAGGGTGGGGCCAGGCACTCACCTGTCTGCAGGTCAGGCGTGGCCAGGGTGGCTGTCCCCAGCAGAAGCAGCAGCAGCCTCTGGGGCAGCAGGGGGACAGCCAGCTCCATCAGGGCTTCACTGGGCACAGTGGCAGGGCAGAGCTACGGAACCTTTGGTTTGGGGTCCTCAGGGACACTGGGGTGTGGGTGCCAGGGCAGCCAGCTGGGACACTGCCAAGATACAAGGGGCAAGGCAGACAAGTCCGCCGGCTCCTCTGGTGTCTTCACTGTCATCTTTGTGCTCCTCCTTTGGGCCAGGATTGTGTCCAGGGGTTGCCATGGAGATTTGGAGTGAAGGCCTTAGCTGGAGGATGCCTGCTTACCCTCGTCAGACAGGAACCAGGACACTTGAGTCCGGCTTAGCCATGGGGCTTCTGGGAGGGGGACTCACAGCTTGGAAAGCTGCTGCCTTCCTAGATAAGCTGGCATCTTAGAGTTTGAGGAGGCTGTGGCACAAGAGCAGCTTCTCTGAGGGCTTAAAGGAACACCAGTGCCAAAGGAGCACCAGATGAAGAGTCTATTACTAACACAGAGTTCCTGCCGCAGGGCCTTTGCACTTATGGCACCCTCTGCCTAGAGTAATTTATCTCATAGCTGTCCATAGCTGGTTGCGTCAGGCCATTGTGTCACAGCTCACATGTGACCATTTCCTAACAATCTTTCATTTTTTAAATATTTTTCTTTTTTGCGTTTTTGAGACAGGGTCTCACTATGCAGTTCCAGCTGGCCTTGAGCTCACTGTGCAGCCCAGGCTGGCCTCAAATTTGCTCCAGTCCTCCTGTCTCAGCCTATCAAGTCCTGGAATTATAGGTGTGTGCTGCCATGCCCAGCTCTGACCATTTTTTAATCCTATCACTCAATTACATCTCCTGCATTTGCCATCTCAGTACTCTTGGTCCAGCCCTGGGGTTTGGGGTTGAACTGGGGCTCTTCTTGGAGTGGTCTGCACATGGGTGGCATGCAAAGCCGAGATGCACTGATACTCCCACAGGAATGAACACGGAGGGACTTGCTTCTGTCCTCCAAGTTTAACCCTTCTCGGCTGCATTTGACTGGCATCCTGTGATTCTAGAAGACAAATGTCACTTAGAGGGCAAAGGGAGAGGATTCTCGTCCCCTGGGTTTGTGTCCCAGGGGTGGGCTTAGACGTCCAGGATGGCGGCAGCCAGGTGTGGGGTGCACAGGTGTAATCTTCAAAGCCTGACACAGACTGTGTGGGACATTGGTGTGGACTCACGGAGGACACTGTCATGCACTCTAAGTCTTCAGCTGCATTCGAGCAGAACACTGCCATGGGACCCAGGCCCTCGGCTGGATTCTTCGGGGCTCTAGTGTGTAGACAGATCTCCTGTTCTGTTCTGCATTTGGTTCTTTGGGTGAATATTATCAAATAATCCTACAAATTACGTATCCTGCATAAAATTGTTTTCTTTGTAAACCTTGACTACAATAGGCACATAGATGTTAGCTATAGAGATGTCACATAACTAGTAAGTTAGGAAGCACTCTGGCTTCCCGGAGAACAGCAGTCTGGGCTGAATCTAAAGTTCTGTGATGACCCTGCCAGAGGAGGAGGAGGTCACCGAGGCACAAGAAGTGCATGCGAATCCTAGAAAGCCCGGGGAGTCCACTGCTTCCGCCAAGCCACAGCAGAAAACGCCCCCTTCTGGTCTCAGCGGGCTCACATCCCACGCGGGCCAAGAAAGGTATTTGCAGGGGTGAACAGAGGCGAGACTTGAACTCAAGGTCTGTTCCAAATCATGTTCCCTCCACAACAATGCTAAACACGGTTTCTCCATACCAAGTTATGTGGGAGACAGCTCCTTTCCTTTCTGTTATCTCTATTTTGGCAGAGTTATTAATACCTGACCCAATAAAAAGTTGAAGATTGACATGAGGTCATTTTTTACAAGATTAGAAAAATAAGGTACAATTAGGCAGAAGTTACTTCCCACAAGTCCAATGTGGGAAACTCCATCTCAAAGTGTAAACAAAAGGTTGGAGCCAGGTGTGGTTCCGCAGCTCTGCCCTGCCACTGTGCCCAGTGAAGCCCTGATGGAGCTGGCTGTCCCCCTGCTGCCCCAAAGGCTGCTGCTGCTGCTCCAGGGCCACGCCTGACCTGCAGACAGGGGAGTGCCTGTAATCCCAGCACTCGGGAGGCTGAGGCAGGAGAATTGCTGTGAGGCCAGACTGGGGTACAAAGTAAGTTCAAGGCCATCCTGAACTAGAGTGAGACCCTGTGTGAAAAAGAAAAAAAAATGTCAGAATGGCCAGCTTTACATACTTCTAAGCAATGAATAGAAATTTGAGATGATACTGGGATTGATACCATCCAGCCCATTAAATCCAGATATACATTAGACACCTGGGTAGGTGGACCGGACTATCTCTTCCCCAAAACAGTCCTGCCTCAGATGTCATAGGTAAGCCAAGATTAATGATGGCCAGGGACCCTAGCTATGTGCATTGTCCTATTGGATCAATCTTAGCTGAGCGGCTATACTTGTAATCTTATTGGCTAATTTCTGTTTGACCCAGGTTGTTCTACCTCACGATTTTGCCCTAGAAAACACTGTTGGAGAAATGACCTTAGAGCCAGCGCACTTCTGGGGCCCCTCCTTTCTCTCAGGAGCGATTCCTCTTTCCTGATAAAGGTTTCCTACTCTTAACCTCCGTTGCCCATTAGAATTCATTCTTTGATTTCAGAGGACAGGAACTCAGCTCATTTGCAGGTGTGTTAATGCTAGCACCCAGGAAGCTGAGGCAGGTGATCACCAAGCTACATAATGAGGTCAAGACCAGCCTGAATTACAAAGGAGATCCTATCTCCAAAAAACCTCCCGCATACCTGCCATCTAGCAGGTTGGGAGTTGTACTTCTCCTGTGTCACTATGATAAACCACCCCCACTACAGAATCAAGTTAAGGAATACACTATACAGTGAGAAAATGTACTTAGGCCATTGAAGAAGAAATAACAGAATTTCTTTCATAATCCTGAAGCTGCAGTGGTAGCAGCAAGGTATAATAGGCCAAGCTAGTGTCAAAACAGGTGAGAAATGAAATAGAACACATTGTGTAGATTATGTAACAATCACCTTAGCACCACGCTCACAGACCAAATGTAAATGGGTAATCAAATCAGCTTTATGCAAGGCCAGTGTCATAGCTTATCTGAGCCGTGATTACTGCTGATTGAAAATGAATAGTTAAGATTTTAATCTAAGATTATGGAAAATGAGAATACAAATAGAAAAGGCTTCTTAGTCTGATTCTCTCTTCTCTCTCTCCCTTTCTCCTCTTTGCTAATACTTAGGTCCTTCCACTGAGCTACATCCTAGCCCTTTTAAAATTTTTTATTTTGAGGTTTTTTTTTTTTCCTTTTTTTGAGATGGGGTCTCGCTATGCAGTTCAGGCTGGCCTTGAGCTCACTTTGTAGCCCAGGCTGGTCTCGAACTCACAAGGATCCTCCCGCCTCAGCCTCCCAAGTGCTGGGATTATAGGCGTGAGCCACCACACCTGGCTCGAGTTTTTTCTTTTTATTTTACTTTCTTATTTTGAGACAGGGTCTTGTTGTACTCTAAGAAAAATAGCTTCGTTATATTTGTATTATAGCAAATTACCTGTAATATGGCCATACTGTATATGTTTTCCTTCTCCCTCTGGGTGACCTAATTGATATGTTAACCAATGCTCTCCTCTGTAACGAATTGCAAAATCTTACCTAATTGATATGTTAACCATTGTTGCCCTCTACAAATAACAGATGTGGTGCTAAAATAAGCTAACAGGGGTTGTTAATTACTGTTAGACTACTCCATTCTCTGCTGAGGAAAACAGGATGTTTTCCTAATTTAAACTTGTTTGAAGGGTAACTTGCTTGTATGCAGGAAGACTTGCTTGTTAGCACAACCCTTACCTGATCTTGTCCCCTCCACCCCGCAAAAAAAAAAAAAAAAAAGTAATCTGGCCGTATTTCTGTTCTGTAATGCACCTTCTCTTGTTCTGTATGCACCGAAAGGGTTAAGGTCCAAATCCTTGTAAAAACTTAAGTTTCAGCTTCTTGTAACTTTCGACCCCTTCTCACATGTTAGTGCTAACGAGCTGTCCCGAGATAATTAACCACCTCCCTCCCTTCCACATGTTATTGCTAACAGGCTCTCCCAAAATAATTAACTTTCTACTTTCTTCTCCGAATGTTATTGCAGATATACTATTCTGAGATAATGCTTATTTGCAGAATGGGAGTAACTTGAAAGGCACCAAAGGCTCCCGATGTTATCAGAACTAAGTGGACAGCTTTACAGTTTCCAGACTTGAGTCAACAGCTTAACAGCTTTGTGGGTTTTTTTTGGTTTTTCTTCTCCCTCTCCTGCTTTTAAAATCCCTTTCTTCAGTCTCTGGGACGCACAGTCTCCAAATTGGCTACCGGAGGCTGTGTCACCAGGCCTGGCCTAAAATAAAGCCTTTGCTCCCCAAATTTTAATTTCTTGCTTCCTTGGATTTTATTCCGGGGTCCGAGCTATCACATTTGGGGGCTCACCCGGGGTGGGAGCAAGACCCCAGACTCATTTCTGAACATTTGAAAGTAAGTACTCTGGAGGGTTTGTTTGGGCCACAGTCAGTTTGTACTCTTGGGGAGAGGATGCCCTCAATTTGGGAAGCGGGGACCTCCTGTGGACAGAGTCAATTGGTTTTTTTGGACAAATCTTGTCTGTTTGTATAGTTTTCGGGGCAAACTTTGTCCATTTGTGACTCTGCCCCTGGTGGGGAACCGATCCCTTGGTTAATTTGTTAATTCCTCCAGATCCCAAAATCTGACCAATTTTTGAGCAAAGGCCATTTTTGCTGCAGCTTGTCTTGTCTTGTATGTCTGTCTGTGTGTCCATTTGTTCTAATTATTCTCCTTTTGGTTACTCCAAATCTAACAGAACATTCTCTCCTAGGAACCCCTTCTAGGAGCCCAAAAGGGACAAAGGGATTTAGATATTTATGTTCAGTGTTTTTGTACTTTAGAATTGTCTGCTTGTTTGAATTTATTACTAACTTAGGGGCTCGCTGCCCATTTCT